CCTGCAGGGGGGCAGAAGAACAAGGGGGCCGTTAGAACAAGGGGGGGCAGGTTCAATACAGGCAAATCATTAAAAGGCCTTTCAGATTCTAGAAGTTCAACAGCTTGTGAATCGATACGAGTAATTCTAAAAGATTGTTGTCCACACGTGAGAAAGGCCACCGTCAAGTGTGTGCGTGTGTGCGTGTGTGTGCGTGTGTGTGTGTGTGTGTGTGTGTGTGTGCGTGTGTGTGTGTGTGTCCAGTGTGAAAGCTGTTGTAACAGTCATGGGAATCCTAAACTTGAACCAGGCCACCGCAGCCCAAAAAAGATGTTGTCATGGGAACAGCAGGGGGGGGGGGTGAGACGGGAGGACGGTGCGTGAGAACAGGTTGGAGAAGAAGCAGAAGATGGGGGGGGGGGGGGGGGACGCTCCTTTGAAGTACAAAGGGGGAACCCGCCCTTTGTATCTCAAAAAAAAGGCCCCAACAACCCGGGTACGGGGATTTGGCCTCTCTTTATGACTGATGTCTCGCTGTTTTTGTTTGTCCTGCAGAGGGTCTCGTGGGACGCGGCGAGGGAAGAAGTGGTGGAAAACAGATGAAATTCTTTCTGACGGGAGGACAGAGGGAGGAGAAAGACGAGAGACAGAAATAGAAGAGGACCGGGAGGGAGGACAGGTTTGGTGTATCTATTAATACAGGGGGGGGGGGAGGTTCTCATGACTTGACAGTATAAATAGCCCCCCGTCATCTCTCCAGGGACACACACTAATAGCTGGAAGAACAAAGCGATTTCTCATGAATACACATTCACCACCGTGTGCCGCGATAAACCACCGTACCACGAGGAGCAGCTGCAACGTTCCACTGGGATGCTACAAGGTCACGGGGTCACTAACTGCCCTCCACGCCAAAAAATATCTACTCTCTGGGAAAAACTGAATACAGACGGTCTACAGAACCTCTTTTTGAATCATTCATCCAGGATGACGAGCTTCCAAACTCTGTGTTTGTGTAACTCTGTGTAACTCTGTAGTGTGACTAACTAGGCTTCACACACACACACACACACACACACGCGCGCGCGCTACGATTGGTTGGTCTGCGTCGGAGGGGCGGGTTCTTTTTTCGTTCGCAGTAGTGCCGTTACCTTGGTAACCATGGTGAGTCCAAGCAGGTAGCTGATGCTGCAGATGATGGCGATGAAGATCTCTCTGCGGTAACCCTTCCTTAGGAAGGACGGATACAGATCCACCAGTGATGTGATCTGCCCTTCCACCTCCACGAACTGGGGGACAAGAGACACAAGGACTGAACCCAAACACCGGGTGGACGCGATGCTCCACCACGGGACTCACTGCTCGTCCGTCTGAATGTAAATGAATGGTTATGAGAGGTGAGGATCACGTTCCTGCACCTTTTTTTTATCCTTTATTTATCACGTTTTCATCTTAAAGTCTCGGCCAGAGTTGCTCAAGGGAACCTCGGCTCAACTCCTCCCTTTGAAGGGCTGCCGCCACTTCCCGCCCCTTCCCGGTTTGCGCCTCTGCGTACCTGACTGTCGAGGCCGAGCAGCAGCAGCATGATGAAGAAGAGCACTGCCCAGACGGTAGGGAAGGGCATCATGGACACGGCCTTGGGGTAGGCGATGAACGCCAGGCCGGGGCCTGCAGAGGGAGGGGGGGGTGGTGCAGAGGGGGAGAGGGGGGGGGGGCAGGCGACATTAGTATCCCGATAAGCTGATCTGATCTGCCTCCCTGTGGGAAGAAAAGGCCCCGAACAATGGAGATGCAAAACCAGATGTGAATGCACGATCAAGCCTGAAAGCTACGGCGCTGAAAATGCTCCCTGTGTTTTTTTTTTGTGTGGCGCTAGTGCGCATCCCTACTTACCTGTCACGGTGTGTGCATTACTAGCTGCGTGCGCCGCGTCATACCGGCTGCCACGGCGCACAACAAGGAAAAGCCCGCACGCCGTCATGTAGGACGACGACGTGTGACGCGAGCGAGCCGCCGAGGCCCGGAGGTCATCTAACCTCCGTGTGCCTCACTCCCTCTTCCGGGTGTCTGAGGGAGTCGACTTCTAGAAGAAGGTCAGTCAGGTTTATGTCGGGATGCTCTAAATTAGGGTTTAAGTATCAACACTTTACGTCACTGGAGCCATTCTGCATCCCTGGCCGGGTGAAGCGCGGCGCGCTCTGCGAGGATGCACAATGGCCGTAGCAAAACAGCAGCAGACGCAAACTTGTGTGTCAACTAAAAAGCAATGGCTTTTAAGTTGTTTTTATTAAAGAGGTTTAATTTGACGTTGACGCTACTGCACATTGGGAACTGTAAAAACAGAAGGTAAGAAACAGGGAAGCAGCCGTAGCAGCAACACAGCAATGCAGCTGATTAGCAAGATACGGAAATATGTTCAGTTTTTGGGTGAGAAATATGACGAGGCATCCAACCAAACACCGCGTTGACTCCAAACAACAGTACGAGCGTCCGCTCTCTGAGAGGGGCAATGCTAGCAAGTACATCCGATCACCGGGTTCCACGTCCACCTTTTCACGGACTCCTTCGCCGCCGGCAGGCGGCCGCAGTTGCGACAGACCGCCTCTCTGTCTTCTGGCTCGTCTACTCTCTGGCGACCCACTCGCCAAACACCACGTTGCTATCGGATCATTCTGATCGGCGCGCTGGACGGATTGTTGTGAAACTACAGAATTGTCCAATATTGGTATCGACTGGGCCGGCATTTTACATTTTTCCCTTTTTTTGGGGGGCAATGGATGAAGAGTCCGACGTAAGCGTTTGGCGCTAACAACATCGTTGTAATCGGCAAAAAGGACAAGTTGGTGTCGGATCTGATGTCGTCTTAGTCTATCAGCTTGAGACAGAAACAACCGCCGTCGTTCTGTAGAGGACGTAAACACCAGCATTGATGAAATCTCTCAGTGATTATACGCCACAAGTAGGCAGTCCGCTTCAAATAGACTAGTTGTGTCTCCTCACAAAGGAAAAGGGCGCATCATGTGTTTATTAATAGAATACACGTTGTAATATTACATGGGGAACAATATAAACATTCAGTTACAGCGTGTTTATATTTACTCTTTTCTTACTGTGGTAAAATGTTTAGTAGTTTGTGTTCATGGATCTTTGTGGTTCGTAAGGTGCAAAAAGGAGAAGTTGCACATTCTCTGCCAGCGCGTCACTGCGCGGCGGCGGCGGCGCCCCTAGTGGACACCACCAGAACCGCGTGTGTGCTAGAAAGTGGCTCGATTGGGTCTAATGTCGTACGTCGAGGACGTTAAAAGAATGATTTAATAATACAGATAGCTGAATACCACATTGTTACTGATTAGGCGTCGATGTGGAGCCGTTGCAGTTTGTATCGAGGTTGAAACAACTCGCATCCTTTCCAAGATCTGCTCCATCTGCATAAACACAGCCAAAGACCACTGTTATACGCTGGCACACGGCCACAGCGCCGCACATCCCGCCACCGCTACTTCTAACCGCGTGTTCAAGCTTTTAACGCCCCTAAATACCCTTCAAGAGCACCAATGACTTTTCCCAACCGCTCCACCTTTGCCGACTCATCCGACTTGCTTTCCCTCCAATGATGCGCTGACAAACTGATCAGATGTTCATATTCGCTGACACTCTGCTTTCGTCAAGTAGTGTTTGATTGCGGAAACTTCCATATTCCGATGCCGTCATTTGTTGATTAATCGAGGAATCCATTTAAATACCAGGTTCAATTCGTTTGGGATTCGTTGCTGTTTTTCTTTGTCATAACTGTTGTTTCATTTGTTAACCAGGAAGCAGCGCCCACCATCACTGCCGCCTTTACAGGACCCTCGTACCTGACTCTGCCACATCAGCAATGTCCACCCCTTGCTCTTGTGCCATGAAGCCCAGGACGGAAAATATTGCGAAGCCAGACACAAAACTGGTACCACTGTTGAGGGCTCCCAGCAGCAAACAGTCCCTATGTCACACATATGTCATGAGGAGGATTTGTTAATGAACACACAAGGATCCCTTCCCCCTCCCCGCACCCCTCTCTCCCCCCCTCACCGCTAAGCCCCTCACTGGAAACTAAGGCCTCACCTGTAGCAGTTGTATTTGTACTTGTTGTAGCTCCCCAGGGAAGTCATGGCGCCCAAGCAGATGGCGTAGGAGAAGAAGATCTGGGTGCCGGCGTCGATCCACACCTGTGGAGGAGGAGGAGGGGGGGGGGACAGAAAGGCTGAGGCCTGCTGCTGAGGGGGGGGTTTCAAGGTGAGGGGGGTACCAGGTGAACTTTCTTTATATGAAGCGCCCGGCGAGTGAACTCAGGCCTGAAGGCGTGGCCGGCGCGGCGCTGTGATCCGGTAAAGTACCAGAAAGGGGCTCGAAGTCGAGACCACCTGAACCAAACCACCGAGAGCTTCAAAACGTTTGTCTTGAGACTCAAGCTGATCGACCTCGATCAATCTATCGGGGGGGGGGGACAGAAAAGGTGGAGGATTTGTGGAGGAGATGCGCGGTTTGCTCGGGCAGCGCGGGGGCACCTACCTCTGGGTCCTTCAGGCGGTCCAGGTCCGGGTACAGGTAGAACCTGATGCCCGCAGAAGCGCCGGGCAGCGTGACGCCGCGGATCAGCAGCACGATGAGCATGACGAAGGGGAAGGTGGCTGTGATGTAGACCACCTGCGGGGTCACAGGGAGGTCAGGTCACACGTGGCGGCCGGTTAATGGACCATTTGCTTCTCGGGGGTTTTGTCAGCCGATGACCCTGCGCTCACTGCGGGGACGGCCTGTGGTCGCTCGCGGCGTCGTGACCACAGGCCGTCCCGTAAACCGATGGCGGCGTATCGGTACCCGTCACCCGGGAGGCGGGACCGCAGGCGCTGGCTTTGTTACAGGAGCCACGACTTGGTGCAACCAGAGAGCATAAATCCTGCCAGACCAATCAATAAATAGTGTTGAAACCAGCCGCCTGGGACGGATTGAGCTTGTTGTTGTTGTTGTAGCAGCAATTTACTGTACAAATCAAAGATTCTCTGTCGAGAGGAGACACACGCAAACAGATGTGGGTAATGACCCAACAGGAAATAAGGGAATCATCAAGAAACGGATTTGTTTACTGGTAAACATGCGTACATTTGGGAGAGTTTAACCCTTGAATTCTGTTGCAAAGTCTGAAAGTCCAGGGATCCCTTTATTAGAGGAGATCTGTGAGGAACTACAACAGCAAAGTGACACCAGATGTTTTCCTCATTAAGACCTAAACTCAGTGAATTACTTTCATTATTATTAGTGTTTCATCAAACAGGGACGAAGGGGAGCTGGAGCCTCGACGGCCTCGGCTCCAAAACATTTCCCCCGAGCTCGTCTGGAACACAGCGCTCATTGTTCGCTCAGAGAAACGGTGGTGAAGTCACATGACCCCCGTCACGGCACCTCTGGATGCGCCGGGCCATCGCCCAGAGGGACAAATACCAGAGAAGCGTTGAGTCACCTTGCCGGTGGTCTTCACTCCCTTCCAGATGCAGAAGAAGCAGACGACCCAGACGAGCAGCAAACACAGAGCCAGGTCCCACTTCACGGGGCCGATGTCCTCGATGCCGCTGGTGATGCCCAGCACGTTGTGTCTGCGGAGCGAGAAGGAGAGCTCAGATCGATTCCCGCCGACCAACCAGATCAAAGCCAAACAAAGGGGCCCCCGAATAGGCCCCCGAATCGGCCCCCAAATCGGCCCCGGCCCACGGGAATCGGTTACTGTTCAGTTGGCAGAGCATCTAACAAAGAGGAACACGTCTGCTTAGCGGACATGGCTACACCCTGCCTCCCCGGTCCGTCCCAGTCGGGGGGGTTTTAAGGGAAATGTAATTCATCACTTTGTCACTTGTCTGTTACTTGTTCGTTAGTGCACTTTATGCTTAATATTTTTCTTTTTTACTTTTTAATATTTAATTTTGTTTAACTTTATTCCCTTGTTTTATACTAACCCACAGCCTTAGCCTTATTCTACTAACCCATTGCATTAGCATTTCATTCCACTTTATTTTATTACTTGTGCACTGTTGTCTTGTCTGTCTACTGTCGCGCACTAACCGCCAAGACAAATTCCTTGTATGTTTGACATATTTAGGCTAATAAATGTTTCCTGATTTCTGATTCCTGGTAATGTGACAAAGTGTTTTCAACCCTCTGAGGCGCCGATACCGACGACAGCTTCTTCCAAACGCAAACACAACATTCACAGGCGGCTTGGTTCTCTGCGGTGACTCACTCCCAGAACTCGGTGACGGGGGAGGTGAAGTTGGAGAGGCCGGAGGCGTTGGCGGCCAGCCACAGGGATTTGTTCTTGCGGTAGGTGTCCTCGATGCAGCGCTCGGTGTTCCAGGGCTGGTTGCACTTGGCCCACGGGAGCTCCGGCTGGAAGCACTGAGGGGGGGGCCCCAAAACGAAAGAGGTCAGGCCGGAAGGCAACTCACCAGACACCTTTGGGTCAACGGGACAGCTAGCAAAAGAACAACGAGGAACCCACTCTGGGCCACATGGTAGATGATCAACTATTTACTCCCCCCCCCGTACGCTCCGTGTGGCCGTAACACAGTGCAGCTGGTCGGGTACCAGAAGTCACACTGAACAGTCAACGTACCTGGAACAGGTAGTAGAGGCCCCAAGCCAGGATGACGATGTAGTAGATATTCAGCAGGGACACAATCACGATGGAGGCGTAACCAATACCTGGAGCGGGCAGAGAGGTCCGAGAGGTCAGAGGGGCCCTACAACGTTTTATACCTTTGAGAGACATTTTCATCTGCAACGTGGGACGTTTTGGGAGGTTTGACCAGCGATTTCTGATTTCTGGTTCTGCTCTCAAAAGTAGGACGGGCAGGACAGTGACCACGAGGAGGAACAACATCTAAAAATGGATGTGGTGAGATTTGACTGGCTGGAAAGCAGTTGTTTGTAAGGTGTCCTGGGGAACCCTCATCGGGTGGCCTTTGTTCGTTCAGGTCGCACACAGCCGCGTCGGATAAGTCGACAACCTCGGCTTGATCTCGTGGAAAAGTGTCCGATGACGAGAACGTGATGAGCAAAGAAGATTAAAAGACCGAAACGTTCGTACTATCTCGTGCTTTGGTTCTGCTCAAGGTCCACATCGACGTGCTCCTGTTTTTTTAACCTTCTAACCGGCGTTATCCTGCTCGTAGATGTTCATCAAGGCTGTCTGTGTGTGTGTGTCTGTGTCTGTGTGTGTTTGCGTGTGTCTGTGTGTCTGTGTGTGTTTGTGTGCTACACAGGGATAGAAAGATAAGGAGCAGGTGTAGGAGGGGATTTGGGTGCAGATTTGGACGTGGATTAGGTTTTAGGTTTTAGGTTAAGTAATCACTGTTGTCACTGAGGGTCCTCATAAGTCGAGTCGTCCAGGTTGTGTGTTTGTGTGTTTGTGCGTTTGTGTGCTGACAGAGGCCACTCATCCAAATGAAAGTCCTTCAACACCATCGGCCATCTGTGAGTGTGTGTGCGCCTTTTGGGAACTATCTTTATGAATTTTAGTGTTTAAACGTGTGAACTATTCCACCATCACGTCCTGTCCTCCTAATCACTCTGCTAACACAGACACACACACACACAGAAACACACACACACACACACACACCGACTCAGATCACATGGGACGGTGCTGACTAAGCAAACAGATGCAACCTCCTCCACGATGTCATTTCTGGGGGTGACCGACCTCCGGAGCTCAGCTTCTCTTCTATTTGGGCCGAACATCTCTGGTCTGGAAGCCTTTGGACCGATGTGCGATCACGACAAACTAATGAAAATAGCTCAAAAAAATAAAACGGCTGAAGAGGGAAAGACGTGTCCTCAGCTGGTGAGGATCTCTGATCCGGGTCCTCTTCAGTTTGGGCCTCTTCACGGCAGCGACTGGAGAGCAGTTTCCCCTGGAAGTCGTTGAGTAAACGGAGCTCTCAGGGCAGCAGCTCGGATCGGACCGGGACGAGCAGAAGAACCTCCGGTCGGTTCCTTCAAGGAGCCGAAACACGAGAACAAGCGACCTGACGGGACGTGGCGGCAGCTCAGGTGTCTGGAACCACATCGGACCCATCGCGCCTCGTAAGCCCGACGGAACGTCCCCCCCCTCCTCCCCTCCTCCGTCTGCCCTCCCTTCATTCCCGCTCCACCTTCCTCCCTCCGCCTTCTCTCGCTCCGCCTCTGATCCTCTCCAGCTCTCCGTCTCGTCTTCATCCGTCCATCTCGGGCCTCTTCTGGCTCATCTGCTTCTTTTCTCTCGCCCCGACGCTCTCTGACGTGCCGCGCCGTTGCCGTGGCAACGCGTGATTTGGGACACGGCGCACCGTGTGTGCGTGTGTGTGCGTGCGTGTGTGTGTGTGCGTGTGGCGGCGGGGGGATAATGTGTCAGAAAGGAAGAAAGTGAATGTGAAATCGAGAACGGCGACATGAGTAAATAATAAAACAAAGATAACGAAACGATAATGACGATAAAATAACGAAACTTAATGGAGACGTTTATGTATTATTGTTAAAGATGAGTAAACAGTGTGTTTAAAAAAGCAAAGCGAGGATCACAGGCGGCGGTGAAAGCGTTAACATCAGTCAGCTGGGGGGAACAGGAGGAGAGGGGGAAGTGAGAAGGACTGACGAGGGGGGTAGAGAAGGAGGGAAGGAAAGGAAGGAAATAGGAAACACAAAAACAACCAAAAGATGATTCACTCCCGTCGGCAGAGGGGAGGCGGGGGGGGCGACGCTGAAACGCATCTCAGACCTCTCCGGTGCGCTTTCTCACAGCAGAGAAGGTTTTTCCACCGGAGGAGCTGAATAGAGGCCTCAGTGTAACGGCTGGTTGCCTGGTAACGGTCGCCGGGTAAAGTCTCGGCGGTGTGATTGGAGGAGAGTCTGGTGTGACTCAGCTTTATGCTTCTCGGGTGAAACACGCAAGCCCAGTAGTCAGACCAGAGGCCTGCAATGCGTGTGTGATGATGGGCAGAGTGGGACCAGAACCCTCGGTAGGTGGACCGATGAAAGGCAACGAAACCCTGTGGTCACACGGTTTGGTCATCTGAGGCTCAAAATGACTCGTTTTACCGCCGTAGATGTTGCAAATGCAATCCTAAACTTCAAAAACATCCGCGAGAAAGGTGTTGGGTGCTCGCGGCGGACGTACCAGTAAAGATGGGGCAGAGCTTCTCCCAGCAGGTGATGCCCCCCTCGGAGGTGAACTGACCCAGGGACACCTCCAGGAAGAAGACCGGCAGGCCTCCGCCAAACAGGAAAATGAAGTAGGGGATGAGAAATGCACCTGTGTGGGGCGGAGACACAGTCAGTACACGGGTGAACGGCCAGGTGGGCCACCGCGGGGCTCCTCGGGCGCCTCACCTCCACCGTTCTTGTAGCAGAGGTACGGGAAACGCCAGACGTTCCCTAAACCAACGAAGCCGCCCGCCACGGACAGAACAAAGTCCAACTTGCTGGCCCACTTCTCCCGCTGCGGATGTTTGCCCTCGGCCTCGTCCTCGGGCCGGGTGCCGGGGCTTTTACCGGGGGACGGCTTCAGGGTGTCCTTGTGGAAATCCTTCAGGCACTGAAGTTTCTCTTTTTGAGCCATTCTGTAGAAACGGGAGAAAAAGACAAAAGCCCGGTGAGCGTCGGGTGGAGATGAACTAGGTGATGTATCCGTACGGCCTATGAGCCCCGACATGTTACTCTGCACACATAGTTACAATAGAACCAGGTCAGTTGTCATCGGAGTCAAACGTGTGATGTTTCTGTCCCAAATACCTCCAGTCCACAAGAGGAAGTGTAAAGCCGACTTTTACGATTCCCAACAACATTACAAGAGCTTGTTTTCCCCCCAATTAATTCGTGCTAACGGTCATTAATAGTCTTTGAGCTCCCCCGGAACATGCCGGGCTGTATGTGGAAGCCATTACGATGGTGCCATGTAACCACAAAGCCACACGCTTGCCTACATGGAGAGATAAGTGTCACTACCTTATAGAGCCTGAGCGATTATCTGTAACTGACTCACTAAAGTAAAATACTCCAAACTCTTTATGGCAAACAGCATACTCTGACGTCTGGCGTCTGTCTGAGGTACATATATATATTATATATCGAATTTAACTTCTGCTAAACAGTTTAATACCTTTTGAAAGGTTAAACTGTGAGAATTGTGTCTCGCCTGCGTGACCTTTGTCGTCACTTTGATGCTGAACACAAGTGGAAATAAAGCACCCGATCGGTTCTTGGTGGAAAATTGTTGTCAGAAGAAAGACGACGATTTGTGTCAAATTAAAGCGCAACGTATCAGTTTAACGTAACAATTTAAAATGACAACGTTACCAACAGCACGATAACAGCACAACAACATCACTCGAGCTCAAGGTCGCACACGCGGAGGCCTCCGGCTTCACACGAACAATCCACCCACGTCTCAAATGGTTCGGCCGTGTAGTTAAATTGAATTGATTTCCATGTCCTTATGAGCTCAATGCGTTGGTCTGTGGCGATAAGCGGTGCATCGACTTACTGCACAATATATGAAAATGAGTGTGATAATTTTTGGTGGTGTGATATTCGTTTTATATGTAAACGAACGTCACCAACGTCTTAGTGGATCGCGTTGTCCTCGCGTCCTCTTTCATGGCCGAAAGGACTTAAAACAGTGGCAACGAAAAGAGGCGACACAACTAAGATTTCATTTTTCAAACTGCGATTCTAATGTCTAAATATTCTGACGAATAAAAGGTTCTTTGTAATACAAGCGCGTACTTGTATTACTGTGCTGTTATGTTGTCATTACGTTGTCAGTGGCATGAAATGGTCTGAAAATTGCAATAATATTGTTTATGGCAAATAATGTTGCACAACACTAATTTGGTGACACCGTGGACGTACGAGCTGAGACGCACCAGTAGGGGGACGTGTGGACAGACAGACGTACTCAGTCGGCAGATGTCTGTCATTGTGGAAACGCTGCTGGAGCACGCTGGTGGACGTTTGTCCCTCCCGTCTCGCTCCCGCGACTTTCTGCACGATGTCGACGCGGGATCGAGGACCGCACGACCTTTCAGATGAAACGCGACGCTCTCTGTATGTTACATGTTTACTAAAATAAATATCCACACGTGTTCTCCACACGGTTTAAAGACCGTTGTACAAATCTCTCTGCCAGCGAACAACTGTACGGTTTATGAGCGTCGATCGCATGCGGAAGTTTTCCCGAAACTAGTTAATGAATTGAGACAGTAACAGACATTTGCCTTCACGCCAGCTCCTGTAGTTAATTAATAACACTGAGGAAACTGAAAGGCCTCGCTGTGTGTGTGTGTGTGTGTGTGTGTGTGTGTGTGAATATGTATTTCCTGCTGGAGACACAATAGACTCCATTATGTTGGTGGAAAACTACAGCCTAGAGTTTAATGGCCAGAAGTGACCTAAAGTGACCTTTCTCTCCCACTAAAGAGCCAGAGTGACATTTTTATGGAAACACTTCAATGAATTGATTGTGATTTAAGTATATTTTCAAAGAACCATAAATAATAGGACTAACCGGGATCTGCTTGCTTACATATCACCACCATGTCTTTCACTTTACTGCCTTGTTTTGCTTCATTTTGGTAGAAGAACCCATTTATTTTAATGTCCTAATACAGACCAACAGGATGGACAACCCCAAAGAGTTGGATGTCATCAAAAAAATACATTTAAACAAAGAAAAAACACCTCAATCACCGCAGACTTGACTTTAAAAAGGACCCACAACGGAGCCTTGTTGCACTCCACGGAAACTCTTTACCTCCATAAAACAAATACAGCAACATTAAACATTCACAGGCTTGGTAGAATGAATCTTTGTGTGTTCATGCTTGTTTGTTGATGTTTGTTTTGCTACTTTGTGTTTCTGTATCACCTTTCAACTGTGTGACACTGTGAGAGTTTATGCTCACAGGGCTTTAAAATGTTAAAGTTGCTTTACATTTGCACTTTGTGTTATCGACTCTTTTGGATAATGAGCAAATAAAGTGGTTCAGAGTAGCAGTGCTCTACATCTTAACATTCATTTACTTACTTTCAACGTTTAATATGCGGTGATACGTTGCTAGATAATAAGCATAACGATGACACGAGTGCAGCAATGAACATTTACAGTAATTTGTTGTCATCTCGGGCCACGTGACGGCATCAGAAGACCCAAAGCAGAAGATGTGACCGTTCTGCTCCGACGGTCCATCGGCAAGACGAGAAATGAGCAGGTTTGACATTTTCGATGAAAAGAGTTTGTTTGCGATCTAAATGGCGGCGAGTTCGATCTCAGCGGGGCGTCTCACGCGTCTCCTCCGGCGGCGCTTTAGGAGCGCGAGGGACCGGCCGGGGGAATCGCAGCGATTTGTGGGACGAAGCAGAAGCCAAGATCCTGCTGTAAAACATAGAGACTCATTGTGTGAGTGAGAGAGACTCATGTAGTGACTTCAGAACACCCACACACACACACACACACACACACACACACACACACACTTACATAACCGACCCGCCTATTCTAAGACCATGTACCTTTCCACTGGCTGACCACAATTTAATTCTGCCCCACTTTTCTTTCACTCCCAAACAAAACAAGACTTTACTTCTTCTTCTTCTCTGCGATGGGAAGATAATCGTCGGTGGCCACGATGATCGGCCTCAAATTAACGATGCTTCTTTGCTACAACTGAGAAAATAAGGTCACAACATTCGCCGCGTTTGTTTTATGTGTATGAAAGCAATTTTGTTGCTGTCAGTGCAAATTAGCAAACAGTCTTTTGTTTATAAGGAATATAGGAGAGTATTTTGTTTGATTGTTTGATTGGAGAAACAAACCGGGGAGGCCGGTGGGCTTTTGCACCAAAATGTCTGTCAATAATAATCATATCGGCTCCACATCCAGCAGGAAAAGATGGCCGCTCGCGTTAGCTTAGAGCTGCGAAGCCGCCTATTTGTAGATTGAGAGGTTTAAAACTGGTGCGTCTTCTCATGGTTCCTCTTCTCCTCCGGTCCTCGTCCACCTCGTCCACCTCTGATGGTCCGCTTCCTATTTGTCATTTCTTTATTTCCTGCTGCCATTGATTGTGAATCTCTTAGCTGATGCTCGTTTTATCTTCCTCGTAGACGCGCAGAGAGGACATGTAGAGAGGACGTGTAGAGAGGACGTGTAGAGAGGACGCGTAGAGAGGACGTGTAGAGAGGACGTGTAGAGAGGACGTGTAGGGAGGACGCGTAGAGAGGACGTGTAGAGAGGACGTGTAGAGAGGACGCGTAGGGAGGACGCGTAGAGAGGACGCGTAGAGAGGACGTGTAGAGAGGACGTGTAGAGACGGGTTAATAAAAAGAGAGGGACAAAATAACATGCGGATGAAGACACACGTGTGCGTCAGATGCAGGTAAAGCTAAATTTAGCCGGATTTGAAACGGTCCAGGACGAGGGACGGAAATGTCAATTGTAGGACGCCATCGAAGCACGCGGGAGGTGGACGAGTAAAAGTTGAGGAACAGCAGACGCAAAGCTTCCAGTCGTGTTTAGCGCTAAGCCGGAACTTATCACCTATCAACTTTTTAGCGCGGAGCGCATGAACGCGCCGGCGCTTCTCTCTTTACCCCGGCATGCACGCCGCATCAGCTGGAACAGGAAGTGCGCGAGGGCCGTGTTACTGAGTCAGATCACGAGAGAACCCGCAGCCAGGAAGCCCTGAGGTTCCACGACGCCGAAAGAGGAACTGCTCCTTTTAGCAGCAGATGACACGCCATCGATTTCGCTCGGTCGCCTGCACCTCCGAGCCGATCGACCGACGGTGGCTTCTGCTCGTTCAGACGATCCGCTTCGGGCGTGGTCGTCCGTCGCGTCGGCCCGCCACAAGGGGGCGCCGGTCCGACCTTCAGCTTCCATCAGACTAGCTTGACGCGTACGAAGATGCACGCGGCGTCGCTGCCTTTAATGACCTCCAGTCTAAAGCTCCCGTGGAAGCTCGAGTGAAAGAACTCCTTCAAAACGACGACAACAGTTCTATAAAATCCTCTGAGAGAAGAGGGAAAAACACGCTTCTGTACTTTATTTTTATCTTCTTGTAAGTAATCAACATGGACGGTTTAATTGGGATATTTCTCAGTTACGTTTTCTCCGTAGAGTTGAGATAAAAGTTTTGGATCCGTCCAACGATGGAAGGTTAACGCCTCAAAAGACTTCTGAACATGAGTTGAAAAACTTCTATCACAAACCGGCTGAGAAGGAACGGATCACATGGGGGTTCAAATGAGGCAGCGATGTGGTTTGTTCTCACACAGAGGAGAGATCTTAACGCCCGGAGGGGGGAGGGGCGGGAGGAGTCGGGGGAGGTGTTCAAACCGGTTCAGGCCTTTCGGTTACATGCAGGCCTGTTTCTTTGTTTCAGCCACATGGTGACGTCCCGACTTCAGACGCGTTTTCGAGGAGCGATGCTGGAAACCGTTTCAATGCAGATTAAAAGCTCGAGACGTTTTCCAAATTCTCTGTGGCCAAAAGTACCAAGAATAAATGTAGGATGTTGATGTTAAAGGAGAAAAGAATTTAAATGAGTCTGTTTATTCTGCGTGTTGAAATCGCGACGTCTCACACGGAGTGCAAAACAACAACAGTTTAACAAACTATTTTATTAAGCAAAAGTCTACAACATATATATGAATAAAGTTTTTCAAGAGAACCGCGCCTGGCAACAGTAGCTGACATCAGTATATAATTCAAAGTGGAGTTAAAAAGACGCCGTTCTCAAATGAATCACACTACATATTGTGATTATTTGAATCAGTGGGGAATTACAGTAACTTTTCATAATCCAAATACAATCTTCCCATCTGAAAGCTACTTCGGGAGAATTATTGTAGCGCCACCTTCAGGTTTACTGGACCCCAGAGTGAAATGTGTATTTTTAGCCTCACCGGAAGAATTAAACTCTCTCCCTTTGTTTCTACACAGAGCTTTATTATAACGGACACATGAGCAATAATAACAATGTAAGTGCAATAAAGCAGACAGGTCTAAAGCACTGTGGCTCCCTAACAAGGGACCCAACAACAAGGGAGGGGGGAGGGAGAGAGGGAAGGGAGGGGGGGGGGAGGAGGGAGAGGGAGGGGCGTGGGATGGAATAAACCCACTGGTCGTGCATGTATTCGCGCACTGTACATTCACACTGAACACAAGCCTCAAACTTCAAACGGCTCTTTAAATGCTGTCACCTCTAGAGACAGGGACAGAGAGACAGACAGAGACAGAGTGAGACAGATAGAGGGAGACAGGTAGAGAGAGAGAGAGAGAGAGAGAGAGGCTCGTGGTGCGCCTCACTTCCTCTCATCTTCTTCTTCTTCTCTTTTTTTCTGGCGGTCCAATAACGAAATTAAATTTAGAGGAAGTCAACGCGACGAGGAAACGATGAAACAAACAGCCAAAACTATTTATTTCAGTCGGAATGAGATTCAAATCCGCACTGATGTGGAGAAAGAGACAAAAGAAATCCGCTCAATGACGAGAAGTCCAAAAAAAAGCACAGCTCGACATCGCGACCAGAAGAAGAGAAGCAGCTCGAGCGCATCGCACGCAGGAAGAAGAAGAAGAAGAAGAAGAAGAAGAAGAAGAAGAAGAAGAAGAAGCCCCCGCGCACGTGAGAAGAGACTCGGATCTCATTTAAAGCGGTTCAAATCCAACACATCCGCCAGAGCCGGTCTCACAAAGCACATCGCAGCTTCCCCATCCGCGTCCAACGCGCGGACAAACGGGAAGGACCGTTTCCACCCACACGTGCACGCGCTCGTCCTCCAAAAAGGACTTTGAACGGAAGAACACGTCTCATTCAAACACACCGCGGAGGCCAATAAACGCGTGAAAATCATCACCGTGATCCAGTCGCATTACAGGGAGCCCGAGAAAAGCGCCGTCATCCCTCGGAGGCGCGCGCGCGGAGGATGCGTTTATTCACGTTTCCTTCACTTACCTGGTCCGTTATTGTAACGTTGTCCTCCCAATGTCCTCTGAGCGCGCTCCCGTGCACCTTCCGTCCTGTCCGCGTTCCTCTCGTGTCCGCGAGAAGCGACTGAAGGGCTGCACGCGTCGGTAGCTTCTATTTTAGCCTGTTTGCGAAGCTCCCTTGCTGACCTTTGTCTCTCAGCACGGGGGGGACAAGAGACATCCGCGGCAGTGGAAAAACACCGGCCTGCCTCCTCGCGCGCAACAGGAGAGGCGCGTGACGCGGCGCGGGGCCCCGCCCCCTCTCCTGTCAAGTGCGTCGCTGCGCGAGCGAGAAAGTGCATTTGGGGACTGATGTGAAGGTGCACCTTTTTTACCCCCCCCCCCCCCCCCTTTCTGAACCTCCTTCTTCTCCCCCCATCACCCCGCCACGCAGTAGCCCTGGGGGGGTGGAGGGGTTGTAGGGGTGGGGGTCATGCTTCTATATCACCGGCTTCCTTACAGATACGTAGATACGGAAATGTTTTGGGTTTTTCTTGCAAAGTTGGAGGGGGAGGTTGTGGCGCCCAGCCCCCTCCCCCCCCCCTCCCCCCTCCCGAGATAAAGGAATCGCGTGGGAGACGCAGCACGACATGAATCCTCTACAATGGATGGCTGCAGTATCTCCACGGACGCCTCCCTGCCAACCGGCCCTGCGAAACGCGAACTCGATTACAAGCTGCAATTCATTTGAATCCCAGCAGCGGTGCACGACTGGTTATTGTTGTTGTGCTGTAGTGGTGTTCCTGTTATTCTGTCCACCCCTTTGTGCATTTCTACCGGGGCTCAATGAGGCGTCCTGCACTCCGCATGCTGCAGGTGGTCGTTCTCGCTCCGTGGTGATAATAAAGTGCTTGGTGCTTATTGCTGACTGAGGCATTTCTGTAGTGTTAAACTAACTTAAGTTAAAAGTTTGTCATCTTTGCTCCAACTATCACAATAAAAACAGACTATTATTCCCATTTCTAGAGATCCACAGGGTGTTTACTGGAGTACAACATGCCCCCCCAAAAACACCCAATCAGAGTCTCTAACACCTTTAATTATTCTACAGTTCGACAGCACACTGAAGAGAGCTTTTTGAAAACATAGCTGGTGAAAACAGGCAACACATTAACATATTATTAATTCATGGGCATTGCTTTTCTTCTTGGCAGCGTGATCACCAGCAGTGAGCCTGAGAGGCTCCTCGGCTCCTGATTGGCTCATTTTTCTTGGTGGAATCTCACAAATCTGTCTCCTGTTTTACCGTCAAGATGATCGGTCGGAGCAAATATAACAAAAAGTTGTTATGTACTGTATTAACAAATTCATGCTAATTTCATCACATCGCCTCAAACTGCTTTGTGAACCTTCGGTACATTTTCATAACATATATTTCATGGATCTCCACCCGTAATTTCAATTTATGTTACATAGTTATCATCATCATAGTTACATTTCTGGTTTGAATGCAGGTTAATGGAGCGCCGGATTCTTTCCACAACAAAGCATCTTGAAAATATCAATCGTTCAACTGATATTTGGATGATAACAATATTGATCCTCAGATGATGAACTCTAATATTTTGGTGACTTTTGCTCTGGCATCACAGCTAAGATCGATTTATATTTGTACATGATGAACTTTAAATTCGAATGTGCATATTGCCGTATGAATGTAGTGAGAAGAAAGAATGTGCAATAATGTGACAAGTTCTTATCTTATTTACCTGAAGCAAACTATCGGGCGGCTGATATTCAGTCAGTTGGCTTTCACATTGTTTTCCCTCAAGCCGTCCTAAAAAAAGGTCGCTTTTCCTGATAAGTCAGCTCTGCGTTTGTTGCATCAGAGGGAAGCCGGCAGAAGGAAGAACGTTATGACAACAGACTTTGTGCTGAGAGTATTCGTCTGGGCGCCGGATGCTCGTCTTTCACAGAACCAGGATTACGAGAACACGCAGAGGGATGTATTTTGGTGGATGTATTTTGGTGGATGCATGTTGGTGGATGTATTTTGGTGGATGCATGTTGGTGGATGCATGTTGGTGGATGCATGTTGGTGGATGTATTTTGGTGGATGTATTTTGGTGGATGTATTTTGGTGGATGCATGTTGGTGGATGCATGTTGGTGGGTGCATGTTGGTGGATGTATTTTGGTGGATGCATGTTGGTGGATGCATGTTGGTGGATGTATTTTGATGGATGCATTTTGGTGGATGTATTTTGGTGGATGCATGTTGGTGGATGCATGTTGGTGGATGCATGTTGGTGGATGCATTTTGGTGGATGCATTTTGGTGGATGCATTTTGGTGGATGCATGTTGGTGGATGCATGTTGGTGGATGCATGTTGGTGGATGTATTTTGGTGGATGCATTTTGGTGGATGTATGTTGGTGGATGCATGTTGGTGGATGCATGTTGGTGGATGCATGTTGGTGGATGTATTTTGGTGGATGCATGTTGGTGGATGTATTTTGGTGGATGCATGTTGGTGGATGTATTTTGGTGGATGCATGTTGATGGATGTATTTTGGTGGATGTATGTTGGTGGATGTATTTTGGTGGATGCATGTTGGTGGATGCATGTTGATGGATGTATTTTGGTGGATGTATGTTGATGGATGTATTTTGGTGGATGTATGTTGGTGGATGTATTTTGGTGGATGCATGTTGGTGGATGCATGTTGGTGGATGCATGTTGGTGGATGCATGTTGGTGGATGTATTTTGGTGGATGCATGTTGGTGGATGCATGTTGGTGGATGCATGTTGGTGGATGCATGTTGGTGGATGCATTTTGGTGGATGTATGTTGGTGGATGTATTTTGGTGGATGCATGTTGGTGGATGCATGTTGGTGGATGCATGTTGGTGGATGCATGTTGGTGGATGCATGTTGGTGGATGTATTTTGGTGGATGCATGTTGGTGGATGCATGTTGGTGGATGCATGTTGGTGGATGCATGTTGGTGGATGTATTTTGGTGGATGCATGTTGGTGGATGTATTTTGGTGGATGCATGTTGGTGGATGTATTTTGGTGGATGCCTGTTGGTGGATGTATTTTGGTGGATGCATGTTGGTGGATGCATGTTGGTGGATGCATGTTGGTGGATGCATGTTGGTGGATGCATGTTGGTGGATGCATGTTGGTGGATGCATGTTGGTGGATGCATTTCTGCTACTCCCAGTAGTTGATGCTCGAGTCACTTCAAACTCTCGGTGCTGAATTATTAAAACACGCTCGCTGTCGCCACCAGTAATCACACGTGTGATTTAATATAAATTCATCCCTCAAGCGCTATGTAGGCCACAGTGTCTATTTGCCTCTTTGTGTTGTTTTAACGACACATGCACATCTCCTGTGAAAAAATACTGTAAAAAGCCTGTGTCGTCGTTGCATAAAAAGCATTGTGTTAAAAAGGTTTCTCTAAATACATTTTTTAAAATGCTGTTATAGAATCCATCATACGGAATATTTCAAACGTGAAGAAGACACCACGTTGACCCGTAGACGACGTGTGCTGGTGGGCCCAGGCGATGCTCCGGGCTTTGGGATAGTTTCTCTGCCTGTCGGATTTGTTTAGGATCTCCATAAACACACAAACACACAAACAAATCCTAGCTCCACTAAAATAAATGACACATACATGCACACACAGTTTGCATCATTCAAATGAGTCAATATGAGCACGGGAACCTGCTCCGAGGATCCAAACATCCTGCTTACTTTCCTTTCAAATCAAGTGGTCCGGAAAAAAACTGAGTAGCCCTCAAGCCTTCAGAGTGCTTTGCTGTCATAGTTCAATTGATTGGACTCATGCAGCATCATATCAATGAAACCTTTCATCTGGAGCATGGTGCGTAAAAGGGGTCCATGGCAACGCCCTCCGGTCTCCAAAGAGCCACGATGAAGATGGAAGTGACGTGGACGAAACGCGGCCAAACAGCTCGAAGCTAGCGAGCAAGCTAGGGTAACGAGCTGGCTAACAAGCTAGCGTAGCTAACGATAACCCTGTGTTGCAGTACGTCTTCGGACTTTCTTTCACAAATCTTCGCTACGACCTCCTTCCTCATTCAATTCTAACCCTCGTCAATTAAACTTGCCATAAACCCTTTTATTGGCATTCAGCAGCAGCGGAAAACCTTTGTAAGTGAGTTTCAACACTTTACAGCAGATCATAATCCTTCTGCATTAGTCATTTAGATACAACAAGGGTTGATCAGACTTTAAGACTCTCTCCAACAGTCCACAACGTTACTGTCGTGCAACACATACTGTGTAAGAATAGTAAATTGTGTTCAAACCTCCTTGTTGAAAGTTCTCCTAAAAGAACTTCAGTCCCAAAGTGAATCACACACAAACGTATTCCATTGAGTCTCCATGTGGTTAAACCGCACAGCCTGCCGTACTCCACTTCAGCTGCGCGTTGACCAAAAATCTTCCCGTGTTTGTAACTTGGCGTAATTCTGCCATTTTTTCCACTTGACGTCAATACATTCAGCTCAGGGATTGAGCTGAGACCTCGCGTAAACCCACTTCCTGCTACACAAGCAATGACCCCAAATGACCCCAAAGGCACTTTACGGATGTGGAACTTTATCAGCAAAAAGCTTCATGTTACTCTGCCTTCTTTTAATTATTTCATTTGTTTTATACAGTTGATGTACTTTCTATTTAAGAACTTTTACAATGAAAAATTCTTGTTCGTTTGTTCGTTCGTTGTGAAAGAAACACTAACCTGGTAAAGAAGCGACATGAGAGAAGATATTTTGTAGCTCTTCTAACACTTGAGGGTCAAATGCTGTCACAGGTTTTGGCTGTTAGCATTCAAGCTAAGCAGCATTTGCTGATTCTATCGCACCCGACACAACAATAAATCAGAAGGCAGCCGTCTGGCTGTCAATCACTGCTTGTTGAGCCACATTACAGGTCTGTCAGATGAAAAACAAAAAAAGCCAATCAAGGTGCAGCGGAGATCTTTTCTCTGATGCAGTTTATTCAGGCGCCTTCTGGATCCAGAGGAAATGCTTAAAAAACCCTGGACGGAGGCGTCAACATCCAAGTGGATCACAATCACCTTTTTAATGCGTATGTTTACCAATGAATGAGAGCTTTAATAGATTCTACTGTATTCACATTGCACTGGGTCTCACGTGGCCTTAGAAGAATAGAAGAATTAGAGGTTATTATAATTGTCATTATTGACAGCGCTTGCTTTGACATTTCACCACAACTATCTAGCAGAAATGA